GATATTGGAGAAGATGTGGGTAATTTGAGTAAGTTGTTACAAGAGTAGAAATATGCGTATGTTGTTGGTTGCTGCAATTTGGTTGCGCTAGGTGTAAGTAGTCAAAGGTAATAGCACGTGAAGACTTGATGAACTTTGGAACATAAACGCAGAACTGATGGACATAAAAGCAAAGACAATTTAAAGCAGATCCTACGTTATCTACACTTTGTACAAATACTCGGATGACGTGTCACAAACTAGTGCAGTTCTTGTAATTGAGTTCGCTAAACTGAGTTCATCCTCAGTGCTTAAGCTGAATCATAGGTTTGAAGAACGCCGACAGACTGGATGCTAAGTTCTTTGCGCTTTATTTTTTTAAGGAGTTAGGGGTAGTAAAAGGGCACGAAAAATTTAGAGTTTTCAGTAATTTAGTTTTGCTATTAAATCATGTTATTTTACAAAAGTAGTAATATGGCATTATTGTACAATGTTTTGACTTGAAGTCACGAAAATTTCAGAAAAAAACATTTTTAATTTCCAAAGTTATAGCTGTCTGTGTTGACCCACTTCCAACAAAAGATCCTTGCGGTGACAACCATTAGTGCTTGGAGATTCATCTAACATCAATCGAATGAAAAAATTATTTTTATAAATAGATAATCCTGGGCCTGATCGAAGCTTTTTTGTTTTCAAAAATTAACAATATGGCGGCCTCAGGAAATTTTTTTCTAGATTTTTGGGAAAAAATCAACAATTAATTTTACTTAAAAAATCGAACTTTTTGAAAAAAAAAATGCTATGATCAGGCCCGAGTTTACTATGTATTCTAAAAGCTGTATAAATTTCAATAAAATCTACTGAGCTGTTTTAGAGTTGCACTTGGCACCAGTTCGAAAAACATAGTTTTGAGAAAAACGCATTTAAAGTTTCTTGCAGCTACTGCTAGCTACCTGCTCCCGAGCGCTTTGCAGTGCCCGAGCGCTCTTTGTTATTTGTCGAATAACTCAAAAAGTAATTATCAGATAAACTTGAAATTGTCAGAGAATATTTTCAAGATATTACACTTAATAAAAATGCAAAAAAAGCAAATTGATTTTTTGAAAATGCTGACTACCCCTAAGCCCTAAACACAGAGAGACATTTCTTATTTTTTCTCAATTTATATTTAGTAAGAGGTTTATATTGCATACTACAAAACTTATAATATTAATATTAAATTTACTTCGTTTAAGGCTTTTAATCTTGCTTCTCTCTTCTCTCTTCACAAATCACAATTTCCATTAAAATCGCTAATATTTTTTGCAATAAACGATATTAGCCGCTAACTGCAATTTTCATATCTGCATGAAAATTAAATTTTAATTATATTATAACTATCAGCTGCAATTTTTAATAAAACCGAGCAGCGTTTTTAATCTCTCACCGCCACGCTCTCATTAAACTTTTACTATGCCTTTGTTGCCTAACCGGATCGGTTGGCCAGCCAGCCACTGATAGCGTTTTTTGTAATTATGAAAAATTTTCAAAGCGACAATAACAGGGCAGTTTAATTACATTCACTTGATGTGACATGACTCGCCTCTCGGCCAACCAATAGCGCTGCAGCGCAGTACCTACAGCCTGTCTGTTATTATCAACCGTTATTGTTGCCACGCACATATTTTTTGTTTTCGTTGCTGGCATCACCCTGATTGTATTTTTCGCACTCAATATATTTCTATATATATATAGAATTTTATCTTCGCCTGCAGTCACCATCCACTAGCTGACACTTTGAAGAACAAAAACAGAAAAACAAAAAAAAATTTATGGCGCGTGGTGGGATTGGTTGCAACTCACAGTTAGCCGCGCGTTTAATGAGAAATTCATAAAAAAGTTATGAGTTTCTGGCCGCACTATTTTAACGAACTTTTATTTTTAATTTCCGTCATTAAACACTTTCGCCGCTTTTCACACTTCTCTTTCTTCTTATATGTATGTATGTATATATTTATGTCGCTGGCGGCAAAATTTTAATCCGCGTTTAAGAATCTGCGCATAAAATAAAATTTTTACAATTTTTCCTTGGCTCCTTTCCCTTGCAAGCCTCCTTTTTTTCCATTTTAACACTCCACTTCTTGCATTTTGTATGCAGTTTGTCAAAGTGTCTGTCTGTCTGTCAGTTAAATAGTTGGTTAGTTGCTTGGTTTGTTGCTCAACGATGCTCATAATTGCCCTGGCTCACTAACGGTTGCATTTAACACTATTTTTCGCAATTGTTTGTTGTTGTAAAAATATATAATTATGTAGAAGACAGAATGGGTGCGCTCAGCATAAATTTATGAAGACACAATAAATGAGATAGTATATTGATATATCTAATTATATATAAGCCATATACCAAAGGATTAAATATAATATACATATACATATATAAATACTCATATCTCCAAGTTTTTCATTAAAAAAAGTTGTGTGCATCGTGTTTTGAGGAGTTGAGATTATGAGTTGAGAATCAGTTGAGTTGTCTGAGTTTGAGTTGTCCTCATTACGCTCATCAGACTAATTAACTTACTTTGATAGTTCGAACCGGTTATATAATGTGTTGAACTTTATCTACTGAACTACTGTCAAAATCGCTACACGTGTAAATGAAATTTATTCATTTTGGTGCACTCACAAAGAGCAATTTGGTTTGAAAATTTTGACATGAGAATTAAAGAAACAAATTTATGCCTACAAAGTGAACTGATCTGCTAAGATTAAACTATAAATACTATATTAAGAAAATGTCATACATTTGGATTGAATACAGCAGCTCGCGGCTTTCTGCATAACACGGGAACAACTCTAACGGATGTACTAGATTGATATTGCAGTGAAAAGCTCGGCAGCAAAATCAGCTGCAAGTTTTGCAGCGTTTGTTGAATTTTTCACAAGAACATTCGGGCATAGATCGATAAGCAGCGGGTCTACGGATAAAAAACCACTTACATCACGAATAATCTGGCAGAGAAGATTTTAAGTCACACTAAAAGAGGATGAATGGAGCAGAGGCACGCTACCCAGCAGCGGAACTATCAACATCGCACGGATCAAAAAAGATTGATGGAGTGCGCGTCGGGATCTATTGCGTGGAGCTAGATCTTCCACGACTCTTCAAGCTGCCGAAATAATTGTTATTTCTAGGTAGAAATCTTTTTAGTCTAGAAAGCTCCTAAGAAAGCTAATAACGCAGGAAATGACAGCACGAAGAACACAATAAATACATACGTCGATAGATTGCGTCAGTTAATGTGCTTAGATAAAAAGAGGTAGTAGATATGGAGGCTGCCGGAAAGCGAATGCATATATACTGGGTTCCAGGCCAAAAAGGAATTTCGGTAAAGGAAATAGCCGATGAAAATGCCAAAAGTGTTTGGCTATCGATCCTGTACAGGTTACAACTCACTGACATCACATGTGAGACGTATAATAATAATGATTGAACTTCAGCTTGTATTAAACTGAACTTCCATCTGGCATTATAAGGGACTTGTAGGGCTATGTATAACGTGACAGCCAGCCAGTATAATTTAATCTAACCTATTAAGAAAGTTAACACTCAAGCTTATTAAGGTTACTTAAGCTTTGTAAAGAGTCATATTCGACTTGACATTTCTTGGGCCTCACATGTTTACAAATTGCTTGCTGAACTAAAAATCTTTCATGGGTAAAAGACGCGGCTGATATTCACTGTTACTAAGCTGCAGAAATTGGTTTGGAAAGTGATTGAAAAATAAAGCAGCAGCTCCCCAGACCATATCGAAAATCAACTGATCTATTAATTAGAATTAACACAAGGAAAAGCGTTAAATTTGGTCTAAAGATGTTTATTTTGATTACGGGAATCAGTGAGATATTATGAGAGCTATATGCCGTAGTGGTGCGATCTGATTAATATGTCGGAAATTGTAGCGCTGCTTAAGATAGTAATCTTCCTTCCATGCAAGAACTTGGTTTTGATCGGTCAGTTTGTATGGCAGTGGGGTATAGCTGTGGTCCGATCTAAACAATTTGGTCGAAGTTTATAGCGTAGCTTTGAGCAATAATCCATGCCAAATTTCGTGAAGATGGCTTGTCAAATAGAAAAGTTTTCCATACAGGGACCTGCTTATGATCCATCAGTTTGGTGATGGCAGTTCCTACAAATAAGCAGCTTCTTACAGAGAAAAGGCGATTTTTCAGAAACTGAGGGACTAGTTTGTCTATATACATACGGATAGACGGTCACGTCTAAATTGACTCAGCATGCCACGCCCTTTTAAGGCGGATATTATAATAATTATTGTATACAAAATAAGGCTGCAACCGACGAACTCGTACACATTTTTTTGAAGAGTTTAAAGTAAGGTGCTAAGATTTGACTTCTTCCGATCTTTTATAAACAGTTTTTCACAAAGTATGTTCGGAAATCGCAAACCTTTTCTTTTAAGGGTCGCAAAAATATAAGACAATGGGTTCATATAATCTGTTCTGGGTATTAACTCTTTTAAAAAAGATACTATTCCCCCAATACCTACTTGAAGAGCCTTGAAGAGGCTCGAGTGACGCGATGCTATCAGAACTTGTTAGTATAAGAGAAAGGAATAATTGAAGATTTGTTGACTGACAGCTAATAGAACTAAATACTGCTCTTGGTAAAGAAACAAACTTTTAGAACCGAGGTTGAACACAATTGCAATGTGCTTTTCTGGCTTTAAAAACGATGGAGCAGCAACTCTGGAGTTTCGCTTGGAAATATTCTTAAAGAGAGAGTCTTAGTTGTTGCTTTGCAGATATTTGCTGTTTTTCGCACTTTTCACAAGTATTTTGCAATTGAGCCATTCCTTCTGGCTGCTCAGCATGATTTAATTAAAATAACCTAAATGCTTGTTGTTGTATTTTTTTATAACTGTGAAGAATTTTATGTAGTAGCAATTGAGAAATTGTGTTTCAAAACTTTCGAAATTGTTGCAAATGCTTAATTTATATATTTTGTTGTTGCTCTTTCATTGCAGGCGCAAATAGTTGCTGAAACATTTTTATGAAGCCAACGGGAATGGAGCAGTGTAAGGACAAATTTAAATGCTTGCAGTGAACGTGGAAAGGAAACAGACAAAACACAATCGAAAAATTGGACCAAAAACTATGTTGCAACAACAGCAAAAAGCGTAGCAAAACGAATGTAGGAGAGGCATAGTGTAAACAATTTAACAGCCAGGAAGAGACACTGACAACAACAACAAAAACAACGCGGAGAATTACGAAAGTAAGCTACACAGCAACAATACAACGGCGCACTCGTTGAAGGCGGCGAGTAAGTCAGTCAACACAACAGATTACGTGCAACATTGACAACAGGAAGTGCTGACGACAGGCGGCAATGGCGACGACGCCGGTGCACGCGTCACAGCCGAACTGCTGAGAGCGCTGCTGCCGGCGACGGCTGAGCAACGTAGACGGATGGACGGCGGCATGAACGGCATTAAACTGTAATTAAACAAAAGTTACTGACGCCAGGCGAAAGAAATGCGAAGCCAACAACAATAACACATCGCATTGCAACAAAGATTACCGTTAACTGCTGTAAGGCAAACGCGAACAATGCCTGCAACAATTGCATGCAACAACATAATCACCGTCAAGACAATGCTGACACACATTAATGCAAGCACACACACGTACAGAGATGCACAGAGGCACAAAGATACTCCATTGCGTGAAATGAAATTGTGTTGTTGCATGAGTGCAGTGTTGTTGCAGTGACACTTTGAAGGATGTGTTTAAATTAGGGCGGGCAGAACAACGCTGTTGGCACTTTGCCAACAATGTCACGTCACTAGCAGACACTAAAAACAACAATAACCCAAAAATAAAAACAAAGTACTGAAAAGTAATAAAAATAACGGCGAAATAACAAAAGCACCGCGTTGGCGCCTGAGCGCTCAATTGTGTTGCGGTTGTGTAGGTGTTGGGGAAATTAAGTGTGGACATAAACACTTCCGGTTGGCTAAAACGACATTAGCGCGTCACGAAGAGTGACAGCTGAGACAGTTGAAGCCACACATATGCGTGCGGAAGTCAATAGAGGAGAGAGGGCGGTGTGTGTATCAAATAAGAGATAGAGAGAGAGAGAGTGAAAGAGATTGAGAGTGTAAGAGTTAAAGCATTGATAAAGTTATGTAATAATTATTAAGCGTAGTTTATTAAAATAATTATCGATATTTTCTAAAAATTATTATCGATAAAAAGAGCATATAGTTATATTGGTTTGGTGCTAACTGTTGTATGATATAATATATAAAATAATATTGAAAATATTTTTATAGCTTGAGCAACTTTTCAAGTACCTTTCATTTGATACCAATATTGTAGCATTTATTTCATTTTTTTAAATTTGTCGTAGCCACACTTTCCAATAATAAAATGAAAAAAAAATCAAATATTCAAGCAAAGTATTTTCTAAACCTGTGTAGTCTGTTGTTCATATTGAAAAATTTTTATTATTAGCAAAAAAATTTTTAACAGTTGGCAACACCTCTGCAAAAAGTCAGCACCAACATTTCTTTTTTAATTCCATTCGCCCTACGTGTTTTGGCTATTTTATGATATTCCCATTATTTTATTATTTGATACGAGTAAATAACATAATGTAGATGTGTGGCATCCCTTCACAAAAAATAGACCTTGTAGAGAGGCGAATCGAACTTAAAACTGGTATAATATATACTTTACATAGATTGGCATAATCCAACAGAGATAGAAGTGCAAATTATTAAGCCATTTTAATGAGGTTTCTGTATTTTATTCCTCTTCATTGAATTCGACACGATAATTTTCTTGTTGCTCTCGCGTATGAAATTTTTATAAGAGAGCACAGTATAAATTTAGCGATTTGGGAATTGCCGAATCGAAGAGAGTCTACTTTTCAACTCTTATTTTAGATATATATGATATATTTTCTGAAGATCCTTCATTTGTATTTTTTAAGTAGATAAGTCACAGCGCCATCTGTGGAGAATATAATATTACAACATAACCCTAACTGTCTAAAAACGACTGTTACCCGAAGTCAAGCTAATATTACATCTGCTACTGTAAAAATTTTAAATAAATATATTATACATTATTTTTTATAAATTTTCTCTCCCGAGAGATAACTGAAATAGACCGAACATAACCTAATTTCTGCTCTTATAGTACTGAAATCGCACAATGAATATGAAAAGCACATAAGAACCTTACAAAAACTCCAGCAAGTCTAACCAAAATTAAAACAAACAAAAAAATACAACAACAAAAGCAAATAATCAAAAACGCTTCGTACGCCCGCCGCACGCCGTGTAACCAGCATAAATGTTCCCGTGGCGGCGACGACGGCGGTGCGTACAACAAATGCAACAAACACGTCTGTTATTACAATTAAAATGTCGGACGTTGAAAGAGCGCGAAACGCAACGAAGACAACAGCAAACACAGCGTCGACAACAGCAACAGCCAAAACAACAACAACAACAGCAATAGAACGCATCACAGCAAACAGTGAGCAATTGCCATATAAACACTCCTCAACAACAGCAACAACACCAGGAGCAGCAGCAGCCGCAGCGGTGAAGTTACAACACCAACAACTCTACCACAATCAACTTTATCACCAGCAGCAACAACAGCCAGTCTATAGTAAGCCAACAACACACTATAATTACAATAATAGCGCAACTGTTGCACAACAACAACCACAATATCAATTGATCACCAGCGCTGGTGGCGAATTTGGTGGTGGCGCTGCCGACGACACATCCATCTTTGGCAGCTGTTTTGGGCTCTTGCTGAAGGTATTCTTCTCACCACCCGGTTTGGTGGCATTGGTTGTGGGCTACTCGATGCTCGGCGCTTGCATATTTCCATTACTTGAGGCACCACAGGACATTAACACGTCGGCGGCGATCGCGAAGAGTCGAGAGGAGTGTCTGCGTGAGCTGTGGATTATAACGGGTGAGTAGAAGCAACAATATTTTAATTAGAAAAAACGCTATTGCTTGTTATTTTTATGAGGTGTTGTCCACACTCAAAGCAACGGCGTGTTTTCAGTTCCCCAATCAAATTAACTAGATTTTATTCCTTATTAGAACTCTTACCGCCTGAGTTAAAACAGTTCAACTATGAGGAAATCCAAATTATGCAAGTTCTAGTAAAGAGAAATCCATAATTTTTAGATAAGACTGATGTAATTTAGCACAAAACTGTACAGTCAATTTTCACAAGCTTCTCCTGAAATTACTTTTTCAGAAGGAAAATAACTTGCTATTGATAGGAACAGGGGATGAGGGTTAGGTCCGAACTATAAGGTGAATTCATAAGAACCTCGGAGCTGATGGAGAATCACTATCAAGCTATGTGTCCTAGCGTTGTCCTAGTGGAACAGAACTCGTCTCTTATTGGTCAAAGCTCAACACTTCTTGGCGATTGCTTTTTTCAGACGGTACAGCTATTGACAGTACAGGTCCGAATTTTGTTGTATCGGAGTAGCTCATAGTCGGTGTTTCAATTGCGCCTGCTCATCGCGATTAGACCATGACCGCTTTTATTTGACGTTGCTCAGTCCACGAACTCCTTTTCATACTCTGAACAGGATATATTAAGTTTTCAACGAAATTTGTAATATCCAAAAGGAAACTTCGGAGACCCTATAAAGCAGATGTGTATATAAATGATCTGGGTGACGAGCTGAGTCGATTTAGCCATTTCCATCTGTCCGTCTGTATATACACTAACTAGACCTTCAGTTTTCAGATATTAACCAGTTAATTTGAATACGACTTTCTCTAACCAAGGCATTGCTGATTTGTCGTTAACGCCGATATCGAATTACTATAGCATATAGCTGTCATACTAACTGACCGATCCAACTGAAGTCTTTGAATGGAAAACTTTTTTATTTGACACGAAATTTGTGACGGATTATAAGTTCAAGCATCGCTACAATCTACTAATATATTGCTCAGATCGGGCATATAGCTGCCAAAATCAAGAAAAATATAATTTTATTCCCTTTATGCTATAGAAAATGCACCTGTGAAGTGTATTCATTTTCTTTCTAACTGGTTTTACTTCTAGCCTCACCCGGCTTGTGCAATATATCCCATTGTGAAATGCATTAAATAATTTTTATTGCAATTTCAGAATGTATGCGTATATGTTATAGCTTATACTTTAACCACATTACGGCTTTTAAAATTCAATTCAAACACACCAACTACACTTAATAAATTACCTAATATTTCGGTTTACCCATGTGCCATTATGTCATAAAATTAACTAATTTCTAATTGAAATGCTCTTGTGTCTGTACGTATATTGCTAACAATATTCAATATATTTGTAATACTAAAAGTTTCTATGAGACCGCAAAAGCCACATTCACCACAAATTTTGTGATTTTGTCCACTTGAATGAGCTACACATCACTAGACAGTTTTAGGCCCAATATTCAGCAAATGCCTAAATGTTTGTGTGAATTTTGCCGCTGCAAATCAATAATAGTTTTGTGGACAAGTAGTCACAATTAAAATTTTTTGTTTTGCGTAAAATTAAAAGCGCTTAACCTTACAAGCCATGCTTCACCTACATTGAAAAAAAAGTGTAACCAATTACGAGTAGCTCACATGCAGCGCACATGAACACATTTTACCACGGCCGTTGCGATATATTGTGGTGAAATTTTATAAATTCAAAATAAATTAAATAAATTACCGGAAAATAAATATTATTGTAGTTGTAAAGCCTTTGTTAGTAGTGGTATTGTTATATATATTTACCAAAAACATTTTAATGTCTTTATAACGAATGGAAAATAATTTGCAAACTACTTGGATATTTCAAATTGTGGTTTACTGGATTCGCATATAGAGTAATTTTCGACTTTTACCACATAATTTGACTGCAATATTTGCTTGCCAAATTAAAGTCATACATATAATTGCGGTTTCGAAGTTGAATTATAAAATTACTAGTCAATAATTTATAATTTTATACAAAACCACTGAATGACACTTTTTTCATGGTTGGTCAAGTAAAAAAGTTGATCCTCCACATTGCCATTTCCTATATTTGTATTAATAAAAGGCTCATAAGAGTACAGCAAAATATATCATGCACCAAGAAACCACTTTAGGAAAGCTTAAAAACATCGGAAAAAAAGCATTTTCAGCTAGGTAGATATGTCTACGATCTACAGAAAATGAATACCTCTGAAACTGAAACTATAGTGGTTTTAGTGGCCCGACGTTTCTGATTTCAGTAGATCAGTTTGATAAGGCGACAATGAATGTAGCACTGTGGTATTTGTTTTAAACTCTGTTGTCAAAATGAAAACGACTGAAACCCTAACTAAATCCCAATATTATATACCCAGTATTTTCATCGCACTGACCGGCTTTGTAGCTTACATAACGAGCAGAATATGAAAATTTTCAACAAAGGGCTAAGAGAATATTGAACTAATTTTAATCTGATTTAATTCTAAAAATGAGTTGTACGAGTCGATAACAGTAGTATAGTTGTTTGAAAAGGGAAGTGCCCGACGGCAGACGGACGCACCTAAGTTATCACTAGGTACATTGTTCTGGTATTCTTAAGTTATAATGTGAAAATTTAAGAAATCGCATTACAACCACGCCTACTTCCATTATATCACAATTTTAAAGTCCATCTGATCCTTTCACGTTATAATATACAAATCAAATGCCAATCAAGTTATCAGAATGAAACTTTGCACAAATAGTACCTTTAAAATGTGTCAACTCACGTCTAAATATTGCCGAAACTGCACTTTAATTTTTACAGCCCCAGCTACGGAATATATGCACATTATTGTTTCTGGTTGACTATTTACCGAATATATTGGTTAATCTTTAAGATATTATAATATATATAAATTAGGAGAAATATTTTGTCGAGAAAACTGTATCTTGTACCGAAAATCGATAAGATCAGGTCAATACTACCCCTAGCCCCCATAAACCTAATATAAAAGTTTTTAATAACTCAGTCGACATTATATTCTCGATATTCTTGCTGATTTTTTGCCATTTATGTCAGTATACTGGAGTATTATATAGTAATTTTCGGCTTTTGACTATGTCCGAACTTAGCCTTGCCTTTTTTGTTTTGTATATTTCCATAAACATTTATAGATTATAGACTTGAAAATATTGAATAAAATCAGTCTTAAAGTATATACATACATATATCTAAGCCCATTTTTGTTTGATTGGTTGATAAAAAAAATTGGATTGAAAACCACTAGTTTATTCTGCTCCGTACTGAGGCTGTCATGTTCGCGATTATTTCACTCAGTGAAATGTTATTGTATCTCAAACGTCTTAAAACTGCGCATTCGTAGTGGTAGCAATGTTCTTGAAAGAAATTCGAAGACGTCAAAGTTATTCAATTTGCCCTTAGGCTCAGCTATGAAACGATATGTTACTATTGTAGTATATATGTATATATTGTACATCCTTCTGAAATGTGCAATCACTGCGAGTTCGCTTCATCTAATTATTCGCCACACAACGAGCTCTTATGATAATTTAAGCACGAATATATATATTTATAATTAGGTGCCGTATGTCCTTAGTGCATTATATGAGAGGTACAAATCCTTCCACATACCTATATATGCGTGTCAGCATGTAAACATGCATTTGTAAGCAAGTTGCAAGGCATTGTTGGCATATGTAAATTAAGATGCCATCAACTGTTTTAGACAAGCAAAGGAGCAAGCAAGTACGCAGAAGGACATGCGAATGCCATGCTCAAGGCCTCCAAAAAGGACATGCAATATACAAACATACAGACGCGCATATAATATCCCTGATATGCACGACTAAATTATGCCATTCTAAACAGCTCTCCTATTAAGAGTATGCCACTGAGGCCACCAAATTGCGCTCGAGACGGGTCCACTAAGTTCTTTTGTGTAATAGACTCATGTATGTACCATATGTACATGTAAGCAGGTGAAATTACTCCGCGTGCAGACACTTAGCTGCTCAAGCAATTATGCAATTTGTGGCATAAACACGTATATATACGACTATTGACGCATATACATATGTGGTAATGCAACGGGGAATGTGCGCAGTTAGGCATGCTTAAACACGGAGTGATAAGTGTACTAAGCTATTAGTTTATGGATAAAAAATTTGCGATTATAGAAAAGTGTAAGGTAACACTTATGTCGGGGTGACGATCTCTCAAAAGAAGCACCAAACTTTCGCTCTCCTCGGTTTCTGTTTGAAACTGTCTGCTACCTGCATTCATTAATATTGATATTCGTTTAAATCATCTTAAAACTATTAACCCATTAATAAATACTTTAAAAATATTATTTTTTCACGACAACTTTATTCACATCTCCAGAAAAACTCAACGTCTTGTACGAGCGCAACTGGTCCACATTGGTGCACGAACAGCTGCGTCGCTTCGAAGATTCGATAGTGGCTGCCACACGTCATACGAATAACAGTAGCTACAGCATCGGTATGTTTGGCGGCAGTTCAACAGCGTTGCGTCGCTATGGCAGCACATTTGACGCGTCCACAGATGTCATGTTGGCGCCGACACATTGGACTTTTGGCGAGGCTTTGCTCTACTCAGTCACTGTGATAACAACAATTGGTAAGTGAGACTAAATTTTCATATTAATAATACACAAGTCTCCTTTAGTTCAATAGCCATTGAGTTTAAAATTGAAATTAGTTTCGTAACTCATTTTCCTAACCTTTAAGTCTATTGTTGCCCTGAAATATAACTCAATCAATATTTTTTAAACTTTGTCGAAATACGCCTGCAAATAGCCACAAGCAAATACCGGTTTTGTTCAGATATATAAAATTTCCTAGAGGGACAGCTGTCAAAGCAATTGTCAAATTAAACAGCTGGGTTTGACATTTACGTTCAAAACACTTTGTAAAATTGCAATTCAGAGACCATTAAGTGCCCTTATAAGACTCTCGTAGCTTCCATTTAGATTTTCCTCATCAAAATTAAACGTTTTAGCGTTAAATGGTTTCACCAGGACAGTAACTTGATTTCACTTGCAAGCATCAAATCAAAGAGTTATATGCGAATGAAGATATGAGTCTGTTGAGTAGGTAGCCATACTAAAAAAAGGAATTTATCCGCTTTTCGAAGTTTGCTGGCAAAATCAAAGTATTTGGCTTCGAAGTGTGAAGTTAGAATTGTTGAAAAATATTATAATATATATTAATATTGAAAATATTTTTCGATTTGGGAGGCTAATTTCGAAAGTCACCTAAAAGCACCGTGAACTTATTTCGTTCGACTTATTCTGAAAATGCTGTTTAAATGCTAAATGCCACAAAATTTTCGAACTAATGAAGCCTAAATATTGACCAATGTAATAAAATATATACAGCTCTCAAAAACACTATAAAAATCCAAAATTAATTTGACCAACTTTAGCTACGAACGTCTCTAATTGAACCACTGTTATTGGTTCTAAGATATTTTTATAAAAATTCTAACTGAACCGACGCAAAGCTAGCTGGTCATGATCTCCTACACGGAAAGTTAAAAAAAGATCACCATGCATCATCATCATTTACTCTATCTCGCAGTGGAGCACAGGGCCTCAATAAACATTTTCTTCTGCTTCTGTTTGTTTCTAGCTTCATTAGCTCCTTCCCTGATTTTCCGCATTCATCGATTTCTTTTTGTAGTGGTCTGCTCTAAGTGGTCTTAGGGTGGGCTTTCTTGCAACTTGCTTTAGGGTTCCAGTCCAGAGCTTGCCGGAAAACGTCTGTAGCATTTTTTCGCAGTATGTGACTTATCTATCTCCACTTTCGCAAAGTTCCATAGTTGACCATGGTTTAGGTATGTGTTAAAAAAGCTCTGAATCTTTCGAAGAAAGTGATCGGTAACAAACTAGGTTTCACATCGGTAGCGGAACAGATTCAACATTGCACTTAAATAGTCCGATTTTTGTTAAAAATGATATTAGCGTCGAATATCAGATTTTACCTTTTACGATATATGAGATTATATATAACTCTCTTAAAACAGTACTATGATGGTTTATTTAATACCACACGAGATTTCGTGCTATGTGGCAACACTCTTTTGGAGTGATAAAAAAATGTCTTTTCTCAAAGAGTGCTGCCACTTGGTACGAACCAGTATTGAGTTCGTACAGTACTTTTGGCCAGGGATTTATTGAAAAATGTTTTGCTTACCTTTCTCGAGGTAACAAGGTAAAACTTTTCTTAATCTGAGGACAGAATTGCATGGAAGGAAGTGAGTCCAAATATGATTAGACTACAAAAAGTGTCTCATTGTCTTATTGTGAACCCAATTGGTTCATTTCGAGCGTAATCAATATAGAATAAGTGGGTAAGCTAGGTACCGAAAGGTATAAAATAGACAAGGTTCTTCGTCAAGTTATGTGCCAAATTCTTTAAAAATCTTATATGAATTACATACAGAGTTTCGGCTGATCGGTTATACTAATTACTTTCGACCTTACGTGTTTTGAACGGCCAGCCATTATAGGAAATATGTTGGTCCTTTCGCACGTCGAGGCAGAGGAGCTCTTCTCTTCTACTAGTCAAAATATTTGCTGCTACGTGTTGTTTCAATGGCATTTATTAGCTCATTTGAGTGCCGTTAAATATTTCCATAAAACCGCTCCCACCAACCGATAAGATAAGTAATGCCATTTTGGCCTGAGAGGATCAGTTTGCGGGGGAATTTACCGATTTATTGACCCGTTTACAAATTACAGTGCAAAGATTAAATTACTGCATACCGCAAAATAAACGAAAACAACAACAAACTAGTACATACAGAAAGCAACATATTTGCCTATGAAGCAAATGAAAAAACGCAGAGTTGCCACAGGTACGCAACATAGCCAGTAGGGGATATATGCATAAATAAAATATATATTTACATTTGTTTGTGTGTGTACAGTAACTCCGGTGGGCATTTCCTATGAATACTGCACGCAGAGATTTTATGCGTAAGCGCATTTTGCCTGCAACGCTCAGAGATATCATATATTTACCATATGGTATAGCTATGTGGCTTGTTGTTGTTGCCTTATTTGCTTAGGTGAACCAAGGTTATGCAATGTATGCCAAACACCCCATAGTAGTGGCAGGGTTAAAGGGTAAATTACCAACTACACAACGGAGTGGCAATGTAGAACAGCAACAGCAGCAGCAAATGGCCGCCAACATTTTGTATTGTGTGGCAACGCGTTGGCAGCGTGGTACAAACACACACACACACTGCGATGACCCTCAGCCCGCAGTGCACAACTGCAGAGCTGCAGTAAAATTGAAGATAAACATTTGTCTTTTGTTGTGTTTGCCGGCAGGCGCTGCCATTCACAGGCACGCAGATGCCAACCTGTGTGTGTGAGTATGTAAATTTACCATTGTATCTATGTGTAGGCGAATAGAGGTGCAGCTGAATGCATTCATTTATGTTATAAAGCATACGCATTTATTTGCATTCATGTGCTTTTGACCGCAGACAGCCGAGAGAAATGTAGTGACTATATGAATACATCATGAAAGCCTCATCATTCAACTCAGTAACCTTCAAGGTATACACACAAGTTTGCCTTCATGTTTGTATACGAACATCTTTACATATATATTTGTGAAAATATAGTTGTTGGTGGATGGGTGATAAGGTGTGTCCACTGCAACCTGTAAACAGGCCAACTCTGAGAGACTGAATTTCCGAGGTTGGACGTAGCTCTTTTCGTACTCTTTCTCTTTAAAAAATATAAGTTTTTAGAAAGCTTAGTAATAAAACAATTATTTGTGTGATTTTCAATAACAAAATATATGATTAAAGGTGCTAACTCAAATTTATTAATTACGCAGCATATGTTATCGAATTTATTAATGTCGATAAATTTTCAATCTCAAATTATAAATAATTAGTAATACAAGCGGATTACATGTAGAAACATATTTATCGGTATCAGCTATTTATCCACAATATTAAAAAAAAAAATTACCGACATCAGCTATTTATCGATTTTAAAATAATTTATTAAATTTATTCAATTAATAGGGATTTGCTAGGTATATATTTCATAATCAAGGCAATTAATGTGTAATTAAATATATTATAATATAATCGAAACGTATCGAAATTTTGAATCTTAAATTATCGATAATTATTCAAATATAACCGTCATATGTATAGAAATGTATCTACCGATATCAACTATTTACCGGTATAAAACATTTTATTATAGAAATATAGTTATCGATATCAAGTTATTATCGATACAATTTCTTTTTATATGCCAGATCGGATCCAATTGGTAAGGCATATTTTTAAAAATTACTAAGCATATTTAGTCATTAATAATAATATCGATAAATTTCGTATTTATTAAATAAATGTAGGACACTGCCCTCTACAAAACCCTACTTCTTCAATACATTTAAATACTAACATATATAAATAAAACGGTTGTAAAACAATAAATTCGAAGCATAAAATCGATAATTTTTAAGTAAATACAAGTTATAGTTATCGATATCAATTATTTTACGTTATTGTTAATACTCCAAATCAGAATCTACATGCACGATATCTCTTAAATAAATGTGTAGCATATATGATAAAATACATTCTTATCGATAAAATTTGAATTACTGAGCAGAATACCTTGTTAAAAATATCGCGTTATCAATAATACATATATTTTACATTTATAAAATAAGTGAATTTGAAATTTATCGATAATTATAAAAAATTTAATATTTATCGATTTCACAAATATGTACTACAATACCACAAGGCTTGGCTGATATTTTTGATCTGACACTGAGGTTTTTTTTCGATATTGGGGGGCTTGAAATGGTATAGTCCAATGTTAACCATGGTCAGAGGGAAATGATGTCAGCAAGTTTGGTTGATACAGCTTAGCAGTTTGTGGGAAATGTATGTTAAACCTATTGGAGGGCGGGGCTGCACTCACTTTTCTCAAAGTTTCTAACCACAATTTTTTTTCAAGTTATCGCCGTGAGAAGAGCTGAATAGACGGAAACCAAGAATTCAACTTGTCTCGTAATCCCGATAATTTTTATATGCATAACTCGATATCTATTTCGGTTTCTTTGAGATGAGTTATAAACAATCGTTGGCTGAACAAACAAGCAATTGTACTGCATATTGGAATCAAGTATTCTTCCCTACCGATGATGTCATACGGATGATAGGTATGATCTATCAAGTAGCTTCTAGTGATTGGAGCAAGTTGCTCCAGTCGGACGTCTGACTTTTGAATGGGCTCAATAAGGCCCTGCACATATTGGTAAAATACTAATAACACACACTCTATCGCCGTTAACCGATCACAATTTAATAGAGTAAGTCAATACGTAATTTCCTCAGCCTCATTTCGGTTTATAGATAATCAAACAGCAACTCATCAGCAATTCACTAGCACAAATAATCGCCGCCAGCTTACACCATACATATTAAAATGAAAGCCTATATTTGTATGCACGAATATCTATGACTTTGTGGCCATTGCTAACTTAAGGCTCATGCTGCTGAAATGCTAAGCAAGGCAACACCGATCAACCAGCAATCGGGTACCGCAAAATAAGCATTTCTAATGGAAACCACAAACAATTGTAGCAATATGCCTACTGCGCTCCATCTTCAACCAATGGCCTAGTCAGGCGCTGTGCCCCAGCTACAGTAGTGTCCACAATATTGGTTCTGATTTCAAATTGCACTGGTTGTAATGCCTGTTGGCTGCTGTTTACCCAGTACTTCGATTGAAGTAAACACTGACAGGCACGTCAGATTATCATTATATGAATGTGCCACAAACTGCTGTCGATGGCGTAAGCAAGGGACCTCTATGCGGCCGACCGCAACTTCCAATACTGCTATTTACTTCCAGCTGCTGCTAAGCTACTGCTTCCTATCTGGGTGGCACATACACTTAACTTCTCTTGTTATTGCTTCAACAGCCGGCCAACGCCTGCAGCTGGTTCCAATAAAATGCATGTCTATGCTTTGCTTCCGCTCTAACATCGAAGGCAGCTGCTGTTCTCACAATTGTTTCGTACTTCTCGGCTACTTATTGCTTTTTGATGGCCCAAATATGATTCGTGTTACAAGAATGTAAATATTGGTACATGTTTCTTGTTGTTGTTTGTTGTTGTTGTTACCCTGTGAAAGGAAGCGTTTAATTTTATTGTTTGCTTGCGCTGGGCTAACCGGAGGCTTGAGAGAGGGAAGGAAATATGACAGCGTTGCAATATGCGCTGGAAAAAATATTTCATACTTATTCAGATAAATGTAAAAGCTATTCATAAAGAAGAAAAAAGAAAACGAAATATTGAAACACATGTATTTTTGACAATAAAATTGTTGCCGTTTCCACATTCTCTCATAATTGTAGAAAAAATAATAGTGACGGTAGAAAATTTAATACTGTGCAATAAATTTAAATAAATTATATTCTCTAAAAAGAAATAGGGAAACCAGTAGATCTTGTAAGCTTTTATTTTCTGATAGCCATTACACTAATTTCATAGTAGATCTTGTTAAAGTTCTAACCGAACCTGAGATGCTCTCGACGAATTTGGTCGATTTATCTCAGCAATTTCTGCAGTGTTGTACAGATTTTCGCTTTTTGACCGAAGAGCTCGTAGGCGAAGTCTAGTGAAATTTTAGGTCGCCTTCTCTCTGCTCTTCACCTTATTCCTATCATCTGCTTTATTAATTGTGAGCAATAAAAATACAAAGAAAGATAACTTACGGTTACCGTTACGCTGGTTTCTCCTGTTTCATAGTATATCTTTTGGAACTTCTAACCGAACCTGAGAATGTCTTTATGAATCTTAATCCTACCATTCTCACTTTGTGTTGATTTTAAACAGTTAACACCGAAGAAAAGGCAAACATATTAATTTTAATTTTAACATAATAATATTAGAATTTAAAGAGTTCAAAACAAGAGTTCTTTTTTTTATGGAAGAATAATTATTCAAACTTCGACTAATATTATTCACAGTAAAACGAGAAAATTAACCCTTCCCTTCTACACCAAAAACTAGAACCTTTAAGTCATTCGCAATTTTAAACACTTTAACACTATTTTTTCTCTCGCCCGCTTTCATTAGGTCATGGCAGCTTAACGCCCCGCACTGCCGCTGGTAAAATCGCAACCATTTTGTATGCCCTAATCGGTGTGCCGCTCATGTTGATGTGCCTCTCCAGTTTGGGTGCGCTACTGGCGGAGGCGTTACAATGTACCTATGCGCGTATCTGCTGTCGGCTATCGCGCCATCAGCACCATCAACACCATACCCATCAACACAGCCAGCCACACAATCACCACCACCATCAGCAGCACAAACATGAAAAGGGTCATAGAGAAAAGGAGAAACAACCGCCGCCACATGATCTTTATCAACAACAAACACATCACCTGCAAGTGACCGGTGAGAAGAGTGGGCATTTGCTCGAAGCATCAGCTGGTACAATAGGCGTGAGTAGTGGTGGCGTTAGTAAATATGCGAGGCGTTGCAGTGCGGACAGCTTAGATAATGATGTGCTGCTGAAGCGCGGACTTAACGGTTGCCAGCAGGAAAAGGGACATGAGGTGAGTAGAAAAGAGAATATGTTTTAGATAATCGTATTATGTTAAAGTGGCTGTAAGTGCTTGAAATACAAGTATTTTGAAATGTTATTAATATAAAATATATTTGAAGTGTGGTAGAGTAGTCAGAGTTAGAGAGAGTAAGAAAATAATCAAAATTTAGTGGAGCTTCTCTTTTCCTTTACTGATCTTCATTTGAAAATTTCTTTGGAGAAGGTTTTTTGCTAACTGAAGTATTATAAAATCCACCTTCAGTAGTCTAATTTTTTTAGTATTTTTTTCACTAGAAATTTCTTAGGAAGTCCTTCTTGTTCAATTGGTAACTACTTTATAACGTCTAATGATTACTTTTATTTTATAGAAATAATTTTCACGGGATAGATAAGTGATAGAGAAATGCACATTTGTTTCCCCATTATGAAAGCCTTTGACTTGAAACTTTCCGAAAGTCTGCATCTAACATTACTCATATTGTCAATTATTTACGACCATATTTATACTCTTGCTTTTCATATTATTATTTTTACTTATATTATTAGTTATACTCATACTCACTCTATTATTCATATTCATATTTTTACTCATACTTATATTTCTACTCATTTTAATATTTGTACTCATATACATACTTGTACACGTACTCATATATGTACTCGTACTCATATATATACTCGTACTCATATTTTTACATATATTCATATATGTACTCATACTCATATTTTTACTCATTTTAAAAATATTTTCAATATCTTCACACATATTGATAATCATAATTATATTTTTACTTATATTCATATTTATACCCATATTCATATTTGTAGTCATACTCATATTTTTACTCATTTTCATATTATTTCCGGTATATGTTTATTAACACTTACACCCTTATTTTTACTCATATTCATATTTGTACTCATATTCAAATATATGTAATTATATCATTTTCACATTCTCATATATACTCGTATACACATACTTGTAGATAAGTATACATATTAATTTCGTGTTTATTTGTAATTTTTTTGTAATTTCTAATTGATTAGCTACAGTCTGCGTACTAATATTTGACTTGTAGACTCCGCCTAATTTCCTCACCTTCTTGAACTACTAAATTTATTTTGTATTGTAACTCTGTACATAATATTTTATATGTATATGTATATACAACAAAAAGTGATTTCATACCGGTATGGGTGTGCCTGTTCAGGCATATTAAATTTTTCTTATTTTCATTAGCGTAGAAATTTGTTGCTTTTCTCCAGCCTGCTCTCCCCCATATTCTCATAATGCAAAATTAATAAACTCGATCGTAAACAAAAGGGCGAAAATGGAAAACAATAAGCCAACGGCAGTCTTTATTGCCCATTATCACTCACACATACATATTTATGACATAGCAGTTGGCTGGCATTCATGTTTACATATCGAAAATTAAGTAATTTTTCTCATCTCTTTTATTCTTTCATTAGGTCCCACATTTCCTTCTGCCAATTTCTTGCCATGTTTTTTCGCACAGTTTGCTTTCACTTATTGTACTTCTGCAACAAAGCTCTTAATCAATTCACGCGCTTTTCTCCACACACTCGAATGATTCCACTGGGTCTCATTATGGCGATTTAACGATTTTATGGCTAAACTCAATCATATCTACATTCACACATATTTTTCTACACATGTTCGGTAGTCTTAACTACCTTCAACTTGCATTGTTTCTGTTTCACCACCCGCTTTCATCCCCCCTAAGGCGTACTTAATTCATCTTTATTATTCATTTTTATACCCTGAACAGGATATATTAAGTTTGCCGACGAAAAAGGAAACATCGCAGACCCTATAAAATATATACATAAATGATCAGCATGATGAGCTGAGTTAATTTAGCCATGTCCGTCTATCTCTCCGTCTATCCGTCCGTCCGTCTGCCTGTCTGAACATACGCGAACTAGTCTCTCTGTTTTTGAGATATCGATCTTAAATTTAAGATATGATCGTTTCTCAAAAAGTGGCTACTCAGTTATTTTGTAGCATATAGCTGCCTTATAAACTTAACAATCGGAATAAAGTTTTTGTATGGAAAACTTTTTCATTTGACGAGATATCATCACGAAATTTGGCATGAGTTATTATTTGAGAAAAAATGGAATCTCCGAAGAAATTTTTCAGATCACTTTAGCATATTGCTGTCATACAAGCTCAATGATTGAAATCAAGTTCTTCTAAGGATCCTTTTGTATTTGTAATATTTGTGAAGGGTATTATAGCAGCCGAAGTTAACATTTTTTCTTGTATATTTTTTATTTTTATTTTTTGCTTTGCTTATCCACTTGTCTTCTAATTTTCGCATTTCATTAATGTGGCAATATTGCTAGCGGCTTGAAATATATAAATATTTATATAATTCCAGCCGCTCATTCCTTGTTGTGTTTGGCAGTCATGTTTTTTTTTTTTTTTTTTTTTTTGCTTTTTGGCATACAACACCATTATTTATTCATTATCTTCAGTTATTGTTTTCTTTTCGATTTTGCTTTTGTTTTTGTATTTGATTAATTTTGCTTATAGTTTTGTCGTTATTTTTACTTTTTGTGTAAATGTGTTTTTTGTGATGGAGCTTCACTTCACTGGAGATGATAGGAGATTTTAGTAACTCATATTTTATAATGTAGAAATTTTATAGGGAAAACGCATGAAAACTATATCCAGTTTATTTTAGACCAGGGTCAATAATTTTTCAGAACAAAAAAAAACGTAGTCCGGATAAAACCCGAAATCCATTGGAAAAGGAAATATAAAATAACCAAAATAATAGGAAAAAAATAATTTACTTGCGAGCTTTGGTCGGGAACAGGAATAGGAAGGGAAGGTGCTGGTATAATATTTAAGGGTTCGAAATGGTTTAACTCATTTTCTGGCAAAGCTGCCATACATATTATTATTATGGCAAGTTTTTTCAGAAAATCTTTCACTTTTTATCATTTTCAAATTCTTCATCACGGTCATACTTGGTATTTTATTCAATTGTTTAGGTGGTGTTTCTATACATACGAGTATGCACCCATTTTATGAAAATTGTCCCTATCTGGATGTAGAAATAATCAAATAAAGTTTATGATGACATAAACTCTGCTTTCGTAAAAAAATCTCCTCGGAAGAAAATCAGGGAAACAACAAAAAAGGTTTAGATCACTCGAAACCAAAAAGAAAAATCAGCGATTCCTCGCAAAAGATGACATAGAAAGAATGGAGAAAAAAAATGTGAGAATGTGAGGAGATCACAAATTTAACAGGAAAGAGATTTTAGAAAAAATAGGACTGAATAGATCAAACTTTCTTTTCGAAAAATTTTCTACGAAAAAAATTTTCCTTTAAGCAGCTATCCACTTCCATAACCGAGAGAGAAGAGCTTAAAACTTCTGTTGATTCAATGAACTTGTCTAGGGTATTGCTACAATTCCCGAATATATTGTTCAGATCGAACCACTATATCATATAGCTGCCATATTAACTGACCCATTACATATATAAAACAGTAATATATTGTAAAATTATTATCGACTAACTTTCAAAGACAGCATTTATTGCCAGGAAAGCATTTTTCACAATTTAAGTATAAAGGAAATACCAATTGCCGCATCCTTTACTCCTACTCTCCATTGCAACCGCATAATTATGACATTTTTACACTGGGTGTACACTCAACCATCTAAAATATGTGTTCCATTTTAATTGCCTATTTACATTTGCCACAAAACATAGCGCAAGTCACGCATGCAACACACATACAACAACATGTCACATGCTGCAGCCCACCGTGACACATGATACATGCAAGTATATGTAGGTAAAGCTTAAACTCCGTTTGGAAGGCGAAAATTCAGCATTCACTTCACACACACACACAGACACATTAATTATACTCACACATACACACACAAGTATAGTGCACACATACACATATAGGCGCCGTGCCTATAATACAGTTTATGCCACTTAACATATTTCATTTATGCAACTCTGCACTCACTTAACCGGTTGAGCTGCGCTGCACTAACGCACATGTGTGCTTATTACCATCAACGACTTGTGGCAAGCTACAATTTCTTATTGTGATTTTATTACCTTGACGCGCGCACCGCGTGGCTTTCTGGCGTTCTTAAAGCGCGCAACAATTTGTGGCAGCAAGTTGGCCGCAACAAGTGCAACAAAACGCATACAAGCAGGCCAAGGTGTATGTATGTTTCGGTTTGTGTATGCTTAGCATGCGGCAAAAATGTGGCATGCCACAAATTATTACTTGCGACTACTTAAGGCCATAACTCTTTGCTGCAGCGGCTGATGGAGTTATTTGCAGCGATTTTTCGTGGAAAAACGCTTTCTTAGCCATACACGCATGCACAAATACATAAATATATACACTTAGGTATTGTTTTAGTGTCGAACTTTTACCTGGTTTGCGACGTGCTTTCCATATCGTTTACTCCGCTCGCGTTTTATGGCGTGTTAATATTTCGCAACTCGTAAAAACTTCAACTCAAAACTCGAACCGGCAGCGCCGTGTTCATACTACACTCCCTCCTCCGCTCTCACTATCCTCCCTCTCTCTCTCTCTCTCTCACATTCAGCTTTTCGAGCGCTACTTAACTTATAATTAACTCTAATTGAATTATATACCTGTATAATTGCAACTGTTTACACTCAATTGTTGAAAGCTTAATGGTACGTAATTGTTGCTTGACGTCCAGCAATTAAAGTTTTGCTGACAGCGGCTACTAACTCGCTTAGGGCTAGATAATTGCGGCCAAAACGACAACGACAGCTTTAATGATTACATAAATAAATTAAATATTGTAATGAGTACTTAAGTAGCGAGCAATTCTTTAAAATGAGAGCAATGCTGAGAGAACCACCTGTTCTTTTGTAGCTGTTGAAGGTAGAAAGTTATAGACAAGCGATATCGGTAAGAAAAAGCCCTGGATACATAATTTGTTTTTGTTTTCCTATGCTAG